ATAAATTTTTAATAAAAAAACAGCCACCAAACAATCAAATATAAAAAATATAAAGCAATAGTAATGGTAACCTTATATGATAAAAATATTCATCCACGAATGTAGATAAATCCATCTTTCTATTTGCACCCTCTTTTAATTGATCGAAGGTTTGTTGTAGGCCTTTATATTCTTGAGCAACATCATCGCTTTGAAGATCATATATTTCCTCCAAAAGTTTTGTAAACCTTTCAGTTGCCTGAATTTCATCAGGAAGGCTTTTAATTTCTTCAATTTTCTTATTGAATTTTTCTTTACGTTCAGCTTTGAATTTTATGAAACGTTTTTGCTTTTTTTGTCATAGGTACGTTTGCAGAAGAAGAAAAAGAAGAAGACATTTTTTAATGTTAGAAAATATTATTAATTGTTCAAATTTTTTTTTGAAAGTGAGAAAAAATCTTGCCACATGATCGACTAAAAATAAATTTTAACTTACCAATTAAATTTTTTACATGGATTCTGTTAATTTTTAATATTATATTTGATAGTATCTAATGGAATATTGATTTTATATTCCTTGCAGCCAATTCAAAAACAATGGTTATTTCTAATACACCAAATTTAGGGTAAATATTTGCTTAAGGATCGAGAAATAGAAGTTCATTGAAAACTATTACAGAAATAGAAAATTAAATGAATTATACAAGTTACCTAATTCGTAAAAAATAAGATTCAAGATCACGTGATTTATTATGTTGTGTAAACACGTATTTTTATTAAATAAACGGAAAGCAAAATGAATTTTTTGGAACATTATATAAACGGTAAGTAAAACAAATATTAATCAATGAAAGGGAAGATTATTTTTAGATTACTTTGCATCAGTTTCACGTTTAAATTGATTTTTTTTGAAAAAAAAATCTATTTGGCTCTTTAATTGAGTAATACAAATGGGCAAATTATTTTTTTAAAATAAAATTGTGGCATACATACATTGAATAAGTTAATGCAAGTTTGCTTATTTCCTCATGATTCATGATTACAAATACTAATTAGATCTCGTGTTATTTCAAATAAACTTTTTTTTTTGACTCGTAAATATTAATTAGGTAAGGTAATACATACAAATGATTGAAATCTTTTTTTTTTTAATACTAATCGGAATGGAATCGTAAAGAAAAAAGAATGCCCTGGAACCTTTTGACTTTGTCACAATTATTATTTTCCTCATGATTGCAACTTTACATAATTTAATTAATTTATAAACGGTAAGTGCAAATATGTTATGTTTGTTACAAATACGATATTACGCAGGATTTATTTTTAGATGTATTGTTCTTGAAAATTTTTTTTTAGAGAATGTCAGATTTTGACTCCGATGAATACTTCAGAACGTTGATGACAAATGATTCTTTCTAATGAAATCATGCAGAACTTATGAGACAAATTTTTGTTTAGTTTGCATAATGATTTTATCTAATGAAAAAAAAATTTTTTATTCTGTATAAATTGGCCAATTTTTTCTTTTCCTTTTTTTTTTTTTAACATTAACATTTAATCCTACCGCTTTATTTTTAAAATCAACCCCACAAAATTTCTTTATACTATCAATTTATTATTATAAAAATTTCATAAAATGTCTAACAGACCACTTACAAACAAAGAAAAACACGCTCAAAGAGCGATAGATTATCGCGAAAAAATGAAGAAAAAGAGAAAAGACACAGAAGAAGAACATGCCAGACTTCAAAAGAGATTAGAAGAAGCTGAGAACTCTCGATTAGATATGGCAGACAGAGTCGCATACAGAAGCGCCGAAGCTATCGATGCAAGAGATAGCAATATACAATTTCGAGAGGACATAGAAGATTTGCGATGGGTTAACATCGATAGACAGCAACACCCCCCTTCTCGTAATTGGTTAAAATACCTCATCGCAATTTTATTTATTTTAATTTTAATTTTTATCATATCTTGGTGGTTGAAACAACGTAAGTATTTTTGCATTGCTGATTCTATAACCCTTTAAATAAAAAAAAATTCATTTATTTTTTTCTTCCTTTTTTTTTAAAAAAATTATTAGAAAATCCTGAAGATGCGCTTGACATAAAGGAAGACTTGCCGTACAAGTCGGTGGATGAATTACCAAAAGGAAGTTTGGTTGGTACTCGAATCGTTACGAAATTCTTTGATTTGTGAGAATCCTCTCCTCTTTCTTTAAATTACTGTATCAACTTTTATTTTTTTTAAAAAAAGTTTTAGATAAAATTAGAAGAAAAATGCTTTTTCGTTTATTGCTTTTTATTTTGTTTTTTTTTAATATTGATGAATAAAATTGTGAAAAAAAATTAACCATTTGGAAAATCAAAAATATTCCCATTCGATAAACTTAAGAAAACAATATATTTAAGGAAGTTAAATTACATACAATTATTGCATCGATAAATTTCTGAAATTTAACACCACGTACAAATAAGAACATAATCAATTACGGGAATGCATAGGCGAAATATTTCCTGAATAGTTTGGACATACATATTAAATTATTCATTCTACCACCACATTCTTCGGCCTCGTTTGAAATTATTTTATAACAAACCAGAGATTTTTCGCAATGATCTTCTACCTTGTTACTCTCAACTAGAAGTTGCGATATGCGGGGGACTTTCGTCTCCCATTAAGCGTCAGATTAAATATCTTATGTTAAGTAAATAACTTTATATTGTAATCAATGATATTTGTATATAAATAAATAGTTTATCGTATAAGGTTACCATTACTATTGCTTTATATTTTTTATATTTGATTGTTTGGTGGCTGTTTTTTTATTAAAAATTTAT